GATTTGTTTCAGGCATTTCATCCTTTTAATTCCCAACAGTTTTGTAACATTTTAGGAATTAAAATTATAGGGCAGGTGAATCCAATAGGGTCATAAAATTTTTATGAATTTCAGACAAAATTGTTCTTTTAGTAACAGGTTTTTTTTTGATTCATTTAATCCCTTAATATCACAACTTAATGTGTCATCATGCAAATCCCAAAAAAGTCCCAAAATGTTGACCGTTTTAGCTTCACAAGGATCATCGAAAAACTCATTCTCATTTAATTTACCAAGCTTCCGACTGTTCTAAAATGGGTTCAACAACAAAGGCATCCCTTTCATTTCGAGGATAGTTATATGCCCACTCTTGTTAATTCAAATTTAGTACTTGACCAAAGTTTCAGTGGCATCATTTTTTAAGTTCTTTAATTCTGATTCATCATTCACACTTGTAACTAAATTATCAACGTACCAAGGATTCTACTAATTTAGTTAGCACTCGCACGTGATAATTTTCTGGTACTTCATTCATTAATTTCGTTAGTGTTGCATTTAAGAGAAATGGGACTGCTGGTTATTCCAAAGACCACTCTTCTATGCCTGTATATTTTCAAAACGCTCAGAATTTCCCTGTTCCCACCATAAAAATCTTAAATAATCTCTGTCTTTAGGATTAAGTGCTATCTGCAGAAAAGCCTTTTTAATATCAGCGCTAACGCCAATTTTTCCCAGTCGAAATCTATTTATTATAGCTGGAACAGTATCAATCAAATTTGGACCCTTTTCCAAACAGTCATTTACGGAAGGGTGATCCTTTAGTTCTTACGGATCCATCGAAAAAACCGGTCTTATTTTTGTCGTGGTGGAATTCATTCGAATAACAGCACGATGGGGTAAATAATGAGAGGGGTTATTAACTTCTTCCTCAGGAACAATTTCTATTATTTTATCATCTTCCCAAGATTTAAAATTGGGTCATAATCTTCTAAAAATCCCCCATCCCTTAAATTCTTCACTGTGCTCTTTAATCTCTTTCTGCTATTTCCCGATAGTTTTGGAAGTAGGGAACGATTTTCAATCCAAGGTAAACAAACTTGAAACCTTCCTTCTTCATCTCTTTTCACATTGGAAAGAAAATGTGTCATTGTTTGTTTTTCTAATTCCCTTTTAGTTTGACTTTCTGAAGGGTCTAATATCCCAAGAGTATCAAGTTTCCATAAATCAGAAATTTTACTATCTGATACTAACATAGAAAATGCATAAGAACAATCATATTTATTTCCATTTCTACGGGAATTTTCTTCCCCATGATACTCCAGCCTAAATAAGTTTCAATGCAAACTAATCCACATTCTAACTTCTTTATTTTCCCTGTGAGCAATTTTCCCGCTATGGCCGCGCCTATGAGAATGTGAATTTCAGAAGGAGAATGCTCGAACAACATTTTTTTATGCCTACCTTCAACATCATTCAAAATTATGTTATGGGTTTTTATGTAACTCATTTAAATAAGGCTTGATGTTCAATTGTGGAATATCAGAGCAAATTTTTGCCTGATCAAAAGCTTTGAAGTTACACTGATAATCATTTTTAATACTACTTAAATGTACAACGAACTGTTTACGAGTTTCAACCACTTCGTTTCCTCCGAACAGACTATGAATCACACTGCTTTCGTTATAACATTTGTACTGCATAGCATTAGCTAAGAATTATACATAGCTTCGTTGACTCCCAGAATCAATTAAACATCGGCAGTATTTTTCTGGACCATTGCCACGCACTTTTACTACTAACGTTTGTAATAAAACTTTCTCTAAACATGATTTGTTCATCAAATTAAGATCCTTCTTATTTATTTTTTCTCATCTAAACCATTTCTGTCACAGATTAAACTATTGTGTTTCCAACCACATTAACCACACTTTATCTTCGCAAAGCAATTTTTTGCCAAATGGTTACCCCTTTTAAGGCATAAATAACATATTCCGAGATTTCCGAAGTGACGCCTTTTCTTTGTCTGCTAGACTTCGGGCAAGCATCAGAAGTATGTTTCTTTTTTCTGAATTCCTCGCAAAATAGGCAGCTGTTAATTGAAACCTTTAACACAGCAGCTTTTGTAATAGAAATTTTTTATTCTTTTTTCTTTAGGAAAGTGGCTCGAAATTCTGATTGTTTATTTTATCTTGAATTTGTAGGCATAGATTCGCAACATTCAATTTCCATTTTTAAGAACTCTAATAATTCGTTTACATTGAAATTATCTTTAGATTTCCTTTTCCTTTGGAAGTCGAGATTAAATTCATTCGGAATTAATTTTAATAAAACTGGTGTCAATAACGTGCCATATGTGCCAGAAGTTATTAACCCCTTCGCGCCGATGTCACGTATACGTGCCAACAACGAAGCACTTATCTCCGGCCGACACGCAGGTGCCGAGCATTGTTGCGTTTTCTACCGAAAGTCTGCCAGTACCTGGAACGTTTTTCAAATTATAATTTCTGCCACAAGATGGCACTGTATGCTCATATGGTTGCGATACGTGTACATTAGAACTTCTACTTGAAATGAAGAAGCATGACTCACATACACGTGTTTTGATTATATAAACAAACGGGGAACTAAATGTTTCCAATTGGCGTGATTTATGACGTCTCTTTAAATCGCACTTTATTCGCACGTGGTAGTTGTTTATTGTAAGTAGAAGTTTTATATGCGCTAAAGCGTTAGTATTTCGGTTTACAGTTCAGTTTTGAAAATAATTAGATCTTTAGACGTGAATTCTTTCTGTTTTTACCGTTTCAATGGCGAGCGTGAAATGTTTAACAGAGCATGAAATAGCAGAAATATGCAAAATATTTCAGATATTGGATTCTGAAATTCTGATATTCTGATATTGATTCTGAAAGATTACTGAAAGACATTTTCCAAAACTTTGTTCAGAAGAGACTGATAAAAATGAGACGACAATGCTTCGTTTGTTACATCCCCCGAAAAATCCTCCAAACGCAAATGAGTTATTATGATTTCAAGGAAGGTAACGTAGGACTGTTGTAGATCCCTGTTTTAAAAATTTTTTCATACAAAAGAGAATTTTAAGTAATGTATTTAGTTTTCAGATGTAAATGTTTAAAAGTCAATGGGAGTAATTAAAATAAAATGTGTAAAATATGCATTTAGACAAGAAATAAGGTAATTAAAAATATGTATAAAAATACTATAAAGCATAAGCCTTAAATACCTAAGAGCATTTTAAACATGCGTTGATACTCGGAATTTCATGGATTTAGGCTTAGTAGCAAAAATGCTCCCGGCCCTGGAGGACGCTCGCAGAAGACACTGCCGACCTCTGCGATAAGCGTGTGCGTTTTTGCTATCGAAGGGTTAAGTGATTTTCAAACTTCTTATCTGTATTTCGATATCATCATACAATTACGTAATGCAAATATGTTTTAGCATTCCTAAAGGTTCTAAATTTGCAGTTTTCACCTATGTGCATTATAATTAAATCTGTTCGACAAAAGCGTGTTTAATAACTTGATTGCGGCGAATAATTTTCACTTGATAATGCAAAACCACTAACAGCATTACAGCAGTACCTGATAAAAAGAATCAAATAATTAAATTGTCATCTGTTAAATCACTATTCTGATTTAAATTGTCATGGTCCAAAATGATACCAATTAACAGGATCGCCATAAATTATTGATCGATATTTAGGCAATTTAATTTTTGAATGAGATACAGAAATATTTGAAATATCATTCACAATATTACCAATTGTATCGAGGCAGGAATTCAGGTTTCCTTATTCTCTTTTAGCATAAATGTTAGTTTTGATTTCATGGAAATTATTTTCTCGGAATAAACTTCGCAATTTTCAAATTCCGATTCATATTCAGTTAGCCTCAATTAATTCTTGTAGTTTATCTAATTCTTTTAGGCTGTATATTTTGAATCTAATAAATCAATATTTTCATTAAGGATCAAATTGTGTTCTGTTTCTTGGAGGTATTCTTTACAATTATTTATCAACTTTGTTGTCATACTCCTAACTACAGTTCGTCTTTTCTTTAATTCTTCTATTTTAGTAAACATGTTTAAATATTTCAGATAGAAAATATTTCAAATTAAAATCAGTCTCTCAAATCATAAATAACTTCTCAATCAAAAGGAGCTATTTTTCAAACATTCCTAAATCTTTCACTTGAATATAGTCTACTTCGGCGGTCCCTGTTCGGGCGCCAAATTTTTATATCATTTCAATTCAGAAAAAACAGATCATTCAAAATTCTAGATAAGCAAATGAAGAAAGGTTGCTACCTTTATGATCCGCGTTTTTCGATTCTGGTCCGCCACTTTTGTAGACAGACTCCGATTTGTTTTCAAACTCATCTAAAATTGGCACTATTTTGTATGAATAACTTTATTTGACATTTCACACAAAAGGGGAACAATATCTAAATCATTACAACATCAAAAATACTTCTAACTACTTAGCGTCATTGTTCCACATATCTAAAAGTGTCATTATTCTACTGCGTCACTGTACTAAAAGCATACGCTCATCGTTGCCAGTTCTCAAAAAACAAACTTTCTTTTTCAATTCTCATCGGTCTGGAGGCTCAATCCGTTCCCCAAGAGCAGAGCGTGCGTCGTTCGCGACAGCTTATAACATCTTTTGGGAGGGCATAATATTGCTCAGTACTTTTCAAAATAAAATGCATAGAAATGTTTATCACTTAATGTATTAACACCAGAAATCTTTTACCAAACTGTTATTTTATTAAGTACAAATGAAAGTACTTTGCTCTTCAATTTGTGTATGGCCTATGCATATGATATTCAACTTTAGTTAGTGGGTAAAACTTTATCAGCTAATAAAGATATCAGTAATATCTTTATTAGTGGGTTTTAATTGATTATTTTTTAATTATGCAGTTTTTAATCTGATTTATAAATGTTTTCAAACTGTGGTGAAAATTCATCCCTCTGTTTTCGGAATTGCATTGTTATAGGATTCAGATGCTGTTCCTGACCTTTCAAGTATGAAAAAGCAGGAATTACAGCCAGGAACAGCTTACAAATTCAGAGTTGCTGCAATTAATGCATGTGGTCGAGGGCCTTGGAGTGAAGTTTCAGCTTTTAAAACATGTCTTCCAGGCTATCCTGGGGCTCCATCAGCTATAAAAATTAGTAAGGTAATTAATTATATTTCATTTTTCCTTAATTAATTTGCTTTCTTAATACTATATTTTGTACATTTTGTAAGCCAATTTATACAGAAAATATTTATGCAGGGTTTATTTATTAAAGGAATATTTATCATATATAATGTATCAAATTAGTGAAAAAACTGTATTACATTATCGTGTTGCACCTTCAGGCAATGAATATTTAACACATTGTCCCATGATTTTTCTCTCTCTTCTTTACTTCCATGTGAAACAGGTGTTTTGAAATTTCTAATTGAAATGTTCATATTTTCTTTTCTGTGCTAGCATCATATTTTTCTTAAGATCGCTCTTATTTTTGAAACTATAAATATTGGTTTTAAATAAAACTGATAGTCATGTCCTTAAGAACATCGAAGACGAAAATTATATGGAACTGTTGATGATATGCTTGAAGGTTTCATTGCTGCAGATTTTGTTTTACTGTATTATTTAATGAGATGACACTGAAAGTTCTTTTGTGTTACTCATATTTCTTTTTAAATTTTAAAATTACATTGGAGAGCAGGATTCACTGATTCATTCACATTTCCTTCACAACCATTCGTACAAAGATACCTTTCAGATTAAAAAGGTATTGCATTTTTACAAGAGTGTTTATTTTATCCAAGGTCTTAGGAATTAAAAATTGGGAACATAAAGTTGGTGTGAATGACAAAAATATAACTAGTGACTTTTAACAGAAAAATCTTAATATTACTTGGAGGGGAGAACCTCGAAAACCCAGCGCACTTAGCTCATTTAACCATTGGAAACAGAAGCTAGGTGACCTTGCTAATGTTTCACAGATTTAAATATTTGGCTACTAATCAGACAAAACATGATCTAAAGAAGGAAAGCGAATTTAATATTCATTTCTCAGAAATAAGAATATTTTTAGTGAACAAAAATATAAGTTGTTTACTGGAGAATCATTCAATAATGTTTGTACTTTATCCCCCTCCATATAATAAATCATTTCCCTTGACCAAGAATATTGATTTTAAGAAATGAGAGAAATATAATCTTTTCTTCAGATATGTGAAGGATTAGTTTAAAATCAGTTATCAATATGCAAAGAAGCATTGTATTTAAATTTGTTAATTTAAAAAAAAAAACTGTTCTGTAGCATTTTTCTAGCTAAACAAACTTTAAAGTATAAAATTAAGATACCACATTGTTTATGCTTATTCAGTGTAGTAGTTAACTAAAATAAAAAAAAACTTTTTGCAGTCTAATGGTCTTCCTTTTGGATAAAACTGTTAAGCATGAGTTTAATTTTCTGTTGTGATTTTTAAATAAAATGAAACTAATGTGGGACCTTCTTCTTTAGCGTTTTGCAAAATTCTGAATTTCTAAATATTTTTGAAACTCTTGTATACCTAATTGGACATTCAAAACAATATCCTGTGCACTTGCTGTTAAGATTGATGTAAATATTTTATCAAGTTAAATTATAATTGAATAGGTAGAGAATGAAATAAAAAGTTGAAATTTGATCAAATTATTAAAAATAATTAAGTTAGTGTATTTTGTGAAATTAACCTGTACTGAGTTGGAAATGTAAGTAAAAATTTAAAAAATGCACAAAATAAGATGTAAATTACAATTAGGAAAAAGCTATTTTATCACTGTCAGATTCAAACTTCTTCAAGAAGTGGAAAAATCTAGCGAAGATACAATGACTTTTTCTGCCATTATTAGTTATGTTTTTGTTTGCTTCCAGTTAGCTGAGGCACTGAAATTAGTTATTTTAAACTATTTATACCTCTGAAAATTAGACACTCAAGTGTGTATAAAATACTCAATAAGTGTACAAAAACAAAGTACTGCCAAAAAGAAATTATATACATGAAAATAGAAAAACTGGTAATTAATACAGCCTGGAATAAAATTAATTAAATTTTTGTTCTAATTCGATTATTTCAGATCAGTATACAAAAAAAGAAAAATGAAATTGGGCAGGAAAAACAGTACTTACACCAAGCTGAACACTTAAACAAAATAACTATTATGAAATGTCCAGCCGCGGTAAGATAGCTTCCTTGCAAAGCATGTTTAGAGTTGCCAGAAAATGGCAAGGAAAGTCAGCGTTGCCGTATCTGGTGACAAAATTAACAATATGCCATTAATGGGTATAAAATCGTCTAGAATGAATTCTTATCAGTTTGGACCAAAATGTTCTCAAAGGAGCCTAAAAGCTTTATAAACCCTGCTAAGTAGCAGTCAGTTAATAGTTAGTCTGTCTCGAGAGTATGTAGAGCGATTGAACCCAGCCAGAAGCTGTACTCTGGTGCTTTGCCGTGAAGCTGTCTTCATCGTTGTAGACTGATAGCCTGAAGGCTGTGAAGAAAGCCTGAATCGTAGAAACTGATATTGGAGTTATGAAAGTCGCGGTCAGCAAGTATTTAACCATCTGAAAATGCATATGCAAAAATCAGAACTGGTTTTCAAGAAATAGAGGAAAATAAGAATTTGCTAACGGATAAAAGTACCGAGCTGAACTATACACATGATGCAATACATCTGAAAATTGCAGTAAGAAAGTATTTGACCCAGTTATAACTTAATGAAAAGCTTGAGACTGCAATTCATTCTGAACTTTAATTTGTTCAATTTAAAATTGTTATGTGGTTAATTTGTGTATATAAATCATACATAGTGTAAATATTTGTTTATTAGTTATGATTGTTGTATTACGTTTTGTTTGTATAAAATTTGGCTTCTGACTAAGGATTATACGGATTGTAGTTAATGAGTGAGTCAGTCAGTCAGTGTCTTGTCTATCGAGTTAATCACGAGTTAGTGCCTCGTCAAGTTTTATCTTGAGTGTGTTGAGCTCCGAGAAGAAACGAATCGAGTCAGGAGCTGTACTCTAGTGCTTATTACCGAGTGCATCACGAGTTGTAGTGTGGAGAGTCTCGAGAGTATGTAGAGTTCCGAGAACGACTGAACTGATTCAGGAGCTGTACTCTAGTGCTTTGCCGTGAAGCTGTCTCCACCGTTATAGCCTGAAGGCTGTAGTTGCTTATTGTTTTAGCTTGCTTTTACTAGTTTATCAGCAACTGTAAACATGATTTTGGAGCTCTCCTGAGTAATAGTGGCTAAATAAATTGTGTTTTGATACTTCATCAAGTGTTGTCGTCAATCACTCCAAATCCACGAACCCTTATCCCCCCCCAAAAAAAAAAACGCAACAGTACTTTTAGTTGAGAAAGGCATCTGTAGGAATGTAAATCCAGGTCCAGGTTACCACTGGTGATTTTTAACTTGCTAAGAAATATTAGTGAAAGAAGTTCCAAGCACTTAAAAGAAAAACTGTAATTTTCAAATGGATTAAGTAATCTGGGAAAATGGAGGTGTGGAAGAGATTTTTAGAGCATAATACAAGACAAAGTCCGTAATCCGGACTCATTGGGACTTCGGCGATTCCGGATTAGGGGTTTTTTCCAAATTATAGATCATCAATTTAAATCTGGTAAGATGGCATGCAGAAATTATACCATTAAAAATATGAAGCCGTAATTTATGACAAAAGCAATTATGATCTAAAGGGCATCAAAATTTACAAAAAAAAAAAAAAAAAGAGCTTAATATTTACTTGTTTACTTTATTAAGCATTTCTTTCAATGTAAATTGTTTAAGTTGCTTCCTTTTTTATGCTAATACTTTCTCTTTAATTCTATAAACAGACATAATTTCTTGTTCAGTTACAAAGTTCCACTGTTCAAGTTCTGTATTTGCTGTGTCAAGAATACTGACTAACTGTCAATCAAAATTTTTTCGTTTGTTTCGAACCATACAACAGATTTCGCTGTCCGTTAATTGATTGATGATTAGGGCGTTGTTGTCGCAATGAAAAACTTCTGTTATATCATCTTCATTTATTACCGCTTCTCCACATTTCTGGACAAATTCCAATAACTGGAAAATTTCGCCTTTAGTTTGCGATGTCCGAAAACCTTCAAATTCGCAGCTATCATCTTCATTGTCCTCACCATGAAATATGGTAGCTGGCCACAAATTATGCCAAGCATTTTTTAACATATCTGGAGACACATCCTCCCAACGCGCATGCGCTAAGCATCCAAAAAAAAAAAGGTTTGTAGCTTTGAGGTCCGGATGACAGCCTTTGTTCTGTAGTAGTCTTCAAGCTTTTTTGGCTATAAAAGCAACTTTATCTGGAATTGGTCATTTTAGTCAAAGTAAGAGCCAACATGTGAGAAAAAGTAATGAGACAGATTTGTAAAAAATTTATATTTTGAATGTACCATGAATTTTTCCTCACCCATTTGTCTCAGTTCTTCCTGTTTGGTTTAAGAACAGGCTGCATTATATGATAAAACATTCCTAGTTTGTAGACTATGCCAGCTTTTATAAACTGTTTTTCAATGCCTTTGAAACTTGATTATTTGTTCTCCAGCTTTTATAAACTATTTTGTAAGTAATGCTTTAGATCTTTATTTATTATTTGTCAAAATTTATGAAAATAAAAAATTTATTTCTGCTGCTGTTCGATTTCTGTACAAATATTTTTAATATGAAGTATTTGATTATACATAGTATTTCGTATAAGTTCTTTTGCAGATTTTCCAGTTAGCAAGCTTAATTGAAGAAAAATTGAAATCTCTTCTAACTTCATGATGGCTGAAAATGTAAAAAGTCAACTGATTAGTTTGAGGCAGAATGGGTAGATATTGTAAGATTCCGTGATGGTTGAAATGGTTGAAAGTCAATATATCTGTTCCTTTTTGTCGGTTTTAGCCTCTTTTTTGGGGGTGGTGGCATCATGCTTAATGAACTTGATTTATTGAATTTTTATTTTAATAATTACAGTTGATTTATTTTTGTTTTTCTCTGGCTGATTATGTAGAAGTTTCTAATTTTCAGAGGTATGAATAATTTAAAATAATTAATTTTGGTGCCTCAGCTAATTTGAAGTGAACAGAAATGTAACTGATAATGCTTCAAAAAAATGGTAATATCGTTGCGAGATTCTTCCACCTCTTGAAGTGATATTCTGATAGTTATAAAACTGCTTTTTCATAATTGTATTTTTATATTAGTATATTTTTATTTAATTACTTAACTCGGTCCAGGTTAGAATTACATAGAATGCGCTAACTTAATTATTTTTAATAATTTTATTACATTTTAGCTTTTAAATTTATTCTTTGCCTGTTTAGTTATAATTTAATTAAATAATATACAGATAGATAGGTTAGATGTATATATATTGACATTTTTGGTCTTTTCATTTTTATTAAATGAGATTATCAACATTATTATGTGTAACTTTTTAATATTATAACTCATTGTAGTAATTAATAATTAACATGTAATACTTCCTTAAATCTGGTTTCTGAAATCCTAAAATGAGGGGATTAGAGAATCACAATAAAGCAGTGAAATATCAAATATTTATTATTAAATTTTATGTATTCCTTGCTATGGATTTTGTAAGCAATTTAGTATATTTCATTGCATAATTTCTTTTATATTAATGTATCTTTTCAGAGTGCAGATGGAGCTCATTTATCCTGGGAAGCTCCACAAACAACTTCTGGGGAGATAACAGAGTACTCTGTGTATTTAGCAATGCGATCTGCCACAACTGGTGGCCAGGGTGATAATAAACAGACTGTAACTTCTAATACATCTCAGTTAGCATTTGTACGTGTTTACTGTGGTCCTGAACCGTCTTGCACTGTCAGCAGTGCAAATCTGTCTTCTGCTCACATAGACATGACCACCAAGCCTGCAATAATTTTCCGAATTGCTGCACGAAATGAAAAGGGCTATGGTCCAGCCACTCAAGTCAGGTGGCTTCAAGGTATGTAATATTTTGTCTTCTTGTGCAAAATATTAAATCCCAGATATTTAATAAACATACTAGGATAAAAAAAATAAGTATACCAAAAGAATTTTTATTTTGTCTGTTTATAAGTATTTTAATGCTATTAATAATAATACTACACTGTAAGTACAATAGCATAATTAATGGAATTTAGGAACAGTAATAGGTCATTTTTCTTCAAATGATATTTAAAATTAAAATTAAATTTTTAAGTTCTTGAGGTCCAGGGTTCATACAATCCTTAAAAATCGTTAATTTTACTCATCTGGCGTTTCTCTCTCTCTCTTTTTTTTATGACAGCCATTTTGAGTGAGAATTAACATTTTGGAGGAATATTTTTTGCCAATGTATTGACAAATATGTATTTTATGGGTTAACGTTTGAATTCTTGTCTACTTCTTAATATAAATGGTGGATACTTGAGTTTTAGAAGCACGAGGTCCTGCTTCGGTTGAAATGTAAACAATTTGAAGTAATTCTTTCTTTGCAAATGTAAAGTTCATAAAATGTTGCATCAAAAACAACTTTTCCCTTTTTGGGATATGAGTTCTTTTATTATTACTATTATTTATTTTAAGTGTTTATTTTTATGTGGTGGTCTACTTTGGTCACTCCATTTGCGTGAACTGGAAGGTTTTAGAAACATGGAGTTTTACTCAAACATAGCCTTATTTGTCAAAACACAACACAAATGCATATACTAATCACATTAGATGATATATCGAGAAAATTTGATTATTAAAGGGTACCAATGAAATAGTTTTGCTATAATTGGGTCTTGAATTATTATTTTTAATGAAGTTGGGGATTAATAATTATGAATGGATATTTCTTCTGTGGTGTCCTGTGATTTCAGAAAATAGTCAATTTTTAGAATATGGAAGTGAAAATATAAGTTTTGATTTTTATACCGAGGTACCAGAAAAGATTTATTCCTCTTTAAAGCTGTTGATTTAAATAAAGTGCAATCTTGTATGAAATATCTTTTTTAATAGTTTTGCATTTATTGAATTAATTTGGTTGGATAAATCACCCAATTCATCACAGTAAGAATTTTGTTTTCATTTCATTTTTATTTTTGTCCAGCACCATCAGTAGAGAAAGTGTAGTTAGCTAAATTAAAAGATAAATTGGAATCAACAGGAATTGACACAGATTGAAGTCTAAATGAAATGCTAAAAAGTTCTGGTGGAATTTTAAAGTATAGTGGATTTTCTAAAATAATAGTGGCTGGCCATCTGTATTATTCCGCATAGCAATGCTGAGTGTGAGAGTGTTTTCAATATTGTTTGTAAAATGCAGATTAAATTCAGATCTAGTATAATATTGGGAAAATTGTTGTTAGCAAATACGAACGTAGAAAAACTGTTATTAGAAAATACCAACCAGCATGGCAATTGCTATGAGCAAATTTAAGATGCTGCTTTCTTAAAACCTGCTATTGTTAACAACTGTGTAAAAATGGATTAAATTGTTATTTTCACAAAAGTCTCTTGAAATAATAAAAATACTTTAATTTTTTGTAAGTATTTTTAATAATTAATTGCATTTAAAACTTCCAGGTTGTATTTTGATATTAATTAGATTATACTTTTTCTTTAAAAAAAAACCTTTTTTATGCTTTTTGATGTTGCCAATAACATAATATGATTTTCATTTTATATACCCTTTTATTTCCTTTTTCCTTTATTTTTTGCTCGATTTTGTTACTAGATTTTTTTTTTTTTAATTTTTCAAAATTGATTATTTTCAATTATAAAAAACTTAAAAATTATAGACAGTAGCACTATGCAGTTTTCAAAGAAATGCACCAAAAGACTTAGTATATTTTTCAAAGTGATGCTTCAGTGTTTCAGAAGCTCATACAGTGACACAGCTCAGGTTACAACGCACCTTTAATTACAGATATTCAGTTTGAGAGCTTGATCATTTGTGAAAATGGTCTTTAGACATGGCATGACACTGCCCATTTGAGAAAAGAGCTCAGGTGTAAGTCTGTGTACATAATGGGAACTTATTTCAACATGTCCCAAGGCATAAGCAGACCTTTGTATGTACCTGTGACTTCAGATAGCCTAGTTAGCAAATGTCACATTGATTTTCATAGGCATTCTTGTGGAAAAGAGTGACTGAGGACATTATCATCATAAAATTTTGCAGGGTCTGTGTGGAGGTGCTCCATCCTGTATGGATGTTACGATATGGAACTCTTACAAGGATAAATGTCTTAAAAGCATTGTATAAAGTTTGATTGCAATAGAAACGGTTCAATATGTGTCATTGTGGACTTTCTCAAACAAAAGGGGCCTACAGTGAATGGCACTTTGCTGTCATCTTATGTGTTATTTCTTTATCAGTAGATAAAGCGCTTCCCTCCCCATTTAACTTCTATTAAGTTGAAAATTCTCCTTCCACAGGATATTTGATAGCCAGTCCACATTGTTTTACAAGTGCTCAATTTGCAGTTTCATAACATCTGTCAAAACCAGATCTTATGTATGCTGAATTTTGGTCAACGGAACCATATCTTCAGTATAATTGGATAAGCATGTAGCCCCACATGAAATACTACAAGGGTCATTCAATAATAAAAGAGGAAAAAAAATTTTTGAAGAATCTGGTATAAGAATGGAATGCAACACTTATTTATTTTTCAGCATAATTCCTCTTCTCCCTCTTCCATCCACTTATACCAACACTGGAGAAGCTTCTCAATTCCACAAACAAAGAATTCTTGGGGGCGTGGTGCATAACCATTTATGCACTGTTGCCTGGACTTCCTCAACATCAGCGATTCTTGAGCCACTAAGAGCTTCTTTCAGTGGATTAAAAATGTGATAATCTGAAGATGCCGGATCTGAAGAATATAGGGCATGGGGCAAGCTGAGGAACTTTGGTCTTTAATGGTATGTAATATGACTCAGCTTGTGTCCTCACATTGTCATAGGGTAACAAAGTGCCACTGGACACCAGTCTACTTTACGTCCCCAAAATTGCTGATTTCAAATTTTCATGTATAAGATTTGCATACATCTTCCTGTTGATATTTTGACTTCTCTCACCATGTTCGAGAATTGCTCCCTTATGGTCTCAAAACAAAGTTACCAGCAATTCTTTCAGTTCACACCTTTTTTGGTTTTGGAAATGAAAAATGTCGTCACTCCATTGAAGCCTGCTTATGTTCAGGTTCATAAAAATCTCCACAACTTTACTTCTCCCTTTAGAGTGTGTTGAAGAAATGCTTCCGTGTCTGCCTTATGCTGTCGCAAAAGCTCCCTGCATATATCCATGTGCCTTTCAATTTTAATATCAGATGTTTTAGAACCCACTTCATACACACTTTCTTGAATATCAATAAGTCATGAATAGTATGATGGGCTGATCCAAGACTAATGTTCATTTTTGCTGAAATTTTACTCACTGCATTCAGACGGTGAGTGAATGTCACAGAGGCATAGTCAGAAGGAATAAAATATGGGACTTTCATTCACATCTGCAAAACAGAGTATATACCATAACTAATCAGAAAAGCTAAATTTGTGCATGCGTTGGATGTGTCCACAGCTTGCCCGCTCTGATTGTTCGCCGCTTACCCTAAGTCGCTATAAAGTTGAAAACTTCGAAATTTATGCCAAAAGCCCTAAACCAGATTTTGTGACCACAGACTGGTTGCCTGGCAATGCAGCTTAATACACGTGTTTTCCCATATCATCTCTCGCAGCGTTCTCCATGATTGTACAAAGAGAGCATCCTGGGAGTGGTGAATCTTCAACACTTTTTGCCTCCTGTTTGAACTTATCTCCCCACTCGTATACTTGTGTTCGACTCAAACAGCTTTCACTATATTGTACTGCCATCCAATGATGAATTTGAATTAGTTTCAACCCTTCAGGTGACAAATTTAATGACACTCCGCTGCTGCAAACCTCCGGAGTAGTGATGAGTCGGTACTACCGAACCGGGTATTTTGTAAGGCGTACTGGAAATCGGTACATCCAAGTACCCGTTACTTCAGTACCAAAATCGCTACTTTTTGGTATTCGTTACTTCTGTACCGAAACGGGTACTTTTCGGTATTCGCTACTTTGTAACGAAAATATGAGTCTCTTCTCGGTATTTCGGTATTCGTTACTGGAGGATCAATGAGGGTTCAGCTCACTTCAGTTTTGGTACGAGGACAGTAGTATCTGGTTGTATTTGCGAAATGGTGATATGTGCTCCTTGTGTCCATGAATGGCCTGCTCCTCAGACACTTACGTAGTTGACATGTTTTCTGATATTCAAAATCTTACTCGGTACAGATAAAATCAAACACGTGGTGACATGGCAGAGTTCCTTCAGTGTGCAAAATCGTTAGCTGCATATTTCAGTATTCCAAATCGTTACTAGGGCACTTCTGTACTCCAAATCTTTACTAGGGTACTTTGGTACTTCAAATCGTTACTAGGGTACTACAGTACAGCAAACCGTTACTAGGGTACTACGGTACAGCTCCAAATCGTTACTAGGGTACTACGGTACAGCAAATCATTACTCCAGTATTTCGTTACTTGAAATCGGTTTTCAGTACTTTTCAAAGTAACGGTTACTTGAGTAACGGGTATTTGGTACCGGGTACTTGTCTGTACCCGTTACTCTCATACCGGGTACAAGAAAGTACCGAAGTTGCCCATCACTACTTCGGAGGTGCCGTTGTCTTTTTTCGCTGATTCTGAGCATCCTCTTCATGTAGCAGGCATGCCAGGCTCATCTAGTCATAGCTCTGGGACATCACCAAAAAATAACAATAAAGCACAAACTTTGTTTTTAGTTTTGTTTTATGCAACTTGTCCGGTTACTTATTGAAAGGGCAAATAGTCCTAAGACTAGTACAGCCTAACATGTCGGTGAAAAATATAACCATTTGACAATATTTTTCATTACTTAAAATATATATATATATATTTATGAAAACCGCATTGTGCTAGTATCCATATTTTTCAAATTACTAAATTTTTGCTTTTTCTGTTACTTTTGGGTTACCTACATTTGTATTATAATTTTTATTATTAGACTTTTTACACTAATCAAGTAATCTTTGAGACAGACAAGCTTTTTAAATAATCATTTATTCTTTTGCTCTCTCATACTCAGTATAATTGTACTAAATAGCATAATTCTTTATCTTCAGATGGAATGAATGTCAGTAACAGTAAGACTGGAACTAAAAGATCTCAGCCATCAGAGTAAGTAGTGAACCTGTTTGCCTAATTTTGCATTAACAAATAATGTGTTAAGATCTTTCAGCAGCAACTTTTGTGCCCCATTTTGCAAAGAATGGAACTAAAGTAGTAGTGAATAATTTCTTTTATTTGTGTAACATTTTGAGGATTTTATTTGAGTAGGGATCAAACCTGTTCATTTGTAGACAAATATTCTGACACCAGCTGCAAAATCATGATTAAAAAAGAATTTGTTAAAATACAGTGAGCAATGAACACATACTTCTGCAGAGTTGTCTGTGGATTTAATGTATTTGGAGGAGTATGATTTCTGTGTTCGAGAGTCCGTTGCATGCCACTGTTGATTTTTTCAGTTGCATTGACTTCTAGTTACTTAGATGTCCATTACATGGCTCCAAACTCAAGTGAATGTTCCTTCATTCATAATTTGTCATCTCTAGACCTGCATAGCTGTTGAGTGCCCTGTTAAATGAGGCTACAGGAAGAAAAATTGTGTGTGTGTAGAAATGAGGCTGCAAGAAGAAAGAATCCAGTAGAAAGAACGTGCACAAAATATAGTGTTCATCTGTTAGAGATGCAAAGGTCCCACTGAATACCAGCTGTCTCCGTTCTGTAATGGAAGTGCTATTGGTCAGATTAGAGCGAGTACGATACAGTCATTAAAGTACTGTAGTTGACACCGGAAAAAAGGGAAATATCCTCAGTTCTCACTCTGATGTTTGTTGAGTTTCCACACTGCATTTGCTATTACTTGAGGCAGTGCTATATTTCTATGGCATGAAACGATTTTTGTCATGATGAAGTGAGTCATAATCATCCAAGATCTTTTTATGGTTGCAATCATCATGCACCCAAAATTTTGCTGTAATTCTTTTATCGACACTCTTGAACTATGAAAGTGCGAATTTCATTGTTGCATCATAAGCGCTATATCCATCCCATGAGCTCTCTCTGTCAGGCTGCATTAAAAAATCACTTAAAATCATAAAAACTTGGCATGTCTTCAGAGTGGAAATAGCTTTAGGAGCTTTCACTTATATACATGCTACCAGTGATATATGATATTCTGGTGCTGCAGGTTGAAAGCATTGTGATGTGATAAAGGTTATTGTTGTTGACTACTAAATTCTGCATAATAGATTTTCTGCAGTAAGATCAAATATTTTAAATTTAGTTGAATGGTGGACTTAGAAACTTAAATAGATTAAGAAACATAAAATTTCTATAGATAAAAATTTGTGAAATAAAATGTTGATGATAAAAATATTTTCATTCTTCTTTCTTTCTTCCCTCTTCTCGCATATTTATCATTGGCCATTGCACAGAATGTACGATCCTTCTCTCAAACAGCCAGTTCCCAGGATGCTGTTATTTGAAAAAGCATAAGATCTTTAATTTAGTTTTCAAATTTAATCAGTGTATAATTCCTTAATAAAGAGAATAATTTAAGAGGAATAAATTCTATAATTTTGTTTTATAAACATACATGATCATGTAATTCAAAACATCTTTAGTTATAATATTTCACATTGGTAATTTTTATTTATAGCATTATTGTTGTTAATAAAATATATTTATAATGCCATATGTTATATTTCATTCAAAATAGTTTGCTGTTTTCAAGTTCTCCTATGCACTTTCAGTTCTTATGTACATGGCAGATCACTAGACTTATGTTATTTTTCATTTGCAGTAAAGCCAATGCTCTAACTTCAAAGAAGGTCAAAGTGGAAGAATCTTGAACACTTGTTATGACATTTGTGTTGCAAGAAATTGTATATTTTGTTTCTTTCCTGGGACCGAGTATGCATATTGTACATTTCCTAAATTGTTAAATTCACTCATTCCCATCAGCATCTTGTAATAAAATCTCATCTTTTTCCTCTGCTTCAAGTACAACATATTTGGAGGTGAGAGCTGCCATTATCAATGTTTATTTTTGCTGAAGCTGTTATTTTTTTATGTGTGTGTGTAATATTTAGATTATGGATGAATTAAGTTATTTGTTTTATAGTAAATAATGTATTTAAATTTTTAAAAATGCAACGTGCATTACATATAAAATATGAGATTAATAAAAATATGTAAATATATTGTTATAATTTTTCTATAACAAAAGATTTAATAATGCCAGTGAAGTTTGATTAATCATTTTTCATACATATACTATTGAATGTGGGTCAGACATTGTTAGCTACCTATACATTTGAAACCCAAACAATACATTTATGAATGTAACATATGAGTTGAGCCTCAAACTGTAGGCTAAAGAGAAGTTCTGTATTCAGTTTTGTAATCAATGGTCGCTAATCTCTAATTTGATGTTATGGCTTCTTTTGTCAAGTAACAGATTTCATGCCCATCTTGAAATATCTTCAAGTATCTTGAGAAGTGAAAATAATTATCATGTATACATTTGAATGCATTTAACAGTTCACAGACATGAATGTCATTTGTGAATTGTGTTTGAGTTTCAAATGTTGTGTTGTAATATATTGTAATTTGGCTTCTGTTGTTAGTTATAAGTATTTGTGTCTATTTATCTTGACGAGAGAAAAGATTTTCAATAAACATTTCAGGCTTGGATGCAACTAAAGCTCAATTCATTGGCTTGAATGTAGCTTACAAATTATTTTGAGTTTTAAATATGTGCATTGAGTTGTTCTCAATGGAGAAAATTTAAATTAGGTGTTCACTGCTGTGTAGTTTGATATAATGCTTTCTGCTGTAAATTGCTAAAATTCACATCATTTATCATTGGTGAGGAAAAAAGATTCACATTAAATGTTTCAAAAAAAATTTTTTTAATTCAATTTTAATACTTTTTACCATACTTAATATTAACATTTTAAAACTGCATATTTTTTATATCTTGTATTGCATGAAATTAAATCATATATATATTGCACCATTTCTTTGAATTAAAACTGTTATGCAGATGTAACACATTAAAAAAGCTAGTTAATAATTTATAGTGCTATTGCAAATTTTATTAATATTAAGTATTGAAGTCTTATATGTTTTTCTTTGTTCTGTTAGTGACTTCAGATCTATGAAATGAGCTACATACTTTTAAGTTTCTGTCCTTAAAATTAATGTATAAATTGTTTCAGAAAGTTATCTTGTTTTAACCATTAATTCTTCTATTCTTTTATTGAATGAGTAGGTACCAAATTTTTTGTAATATCTCATCTCCAAAGTATGAGTGAGTTTTCTTGAAGAATGGAAAAAGCATTGTATGTATATAATATATTGCTCTCATTCTAGAATGCACATCTTGTGTTATTTTTTCCCTGTAGTATGTTTTGATTTTAAAATGCATTTTACATTCTCATGGACTACATTAGCCTCATCTGTTTTTAGAGGATAAGTGATGTTTAAATCACTCTGTACATTCTAAACTTCGCCATCAGACGATGCCTCAGCCTGTTTGCTGTTCAATTCAAATGTAATTTGCTTTATGTATATCATAAATAAAAAAAGAGCATTTTAAATGTTTGTTTCATTAATATAAAAAATTGATAAGTTGTAAATATGATACATTTTATTATAAACTTGGCACTGTAAAAAAACAGACATAGTGACTGTATATTGAAATTAGTCTGTATAGTTCTCAATTTATTTAATTGCAGAATACATGTAGGTCCATTATGATCCACTGTTTCATATACTAAAAATTAAATTGTCCTGGAGAAGAAATGTTTTGTGATGGGTACTAGAAGTAAAATTATGTATAAATTAAACCTATGTAGGTGGTTTCCCCTTTGTAAACATTTTAAATATTTTTTTTTTTTTTTTCTTTAGTTGAAAACTTGACATAAAAAACCTACCTATGTTGCTTAGTTTTACACTTTGATATGTATGTATAAAATAAGTTTGGAGATAAGATTCCCGTTATCAAATAAACCATCCAGATTTCTTATTATTACGTAATTTGCAACTTTCCAGTTTTCCGATACATCTTCTGGTAGATCATTGAAATCAACTTTTTTAATATTTAGGTTTTACTACTGAAAGTGTTCTTCAGAAAATCTGCACAATTTAAGTTTCATTATTAAATTATTGAAGCTTAAATAGTGCAAAATTCATTCCCCTATGGCTAGTGATCTTCAGTATGATTTATCTTATTAAATTTTATCTGAATTGTCTACTGCAGGCATTTGTAGAACTTAATGAAGATTCACCAATGTTTAGTCTCTAAATATTTATTTAATTTTGTTTTATGTTAATGCATAGTACATTATGAAGTTTGTCTACACAATAATTTGTACATTAATTTTATTTTTGTTATGTTCAAAATTACTTCAATGTTCCTTCCCTACTCAGGATATTTTTTAAATTACAAAATTAAATTAGCTAAAGAACATAAAATTTAGAATACATTATTAAATCTTAAATATATTTTATATCAGAATCATACAAGTAGTTGAATAACCTGAATAGTGCATTATGAAATAAATTTACATCAGTTTTGAGTTCCTTTGAAGTGGTACTCACTTTTAACGAAAGAGCTAAATATATTAAAACAATGTAATGCAGTGGTCTCAAACTCAAATTGCCCATGGCCTGATGGGCCAGAATTTTTTTAACAAATCTTAAATTTTGCTTACTAGATATGTTTCGGAATTTACACAGACAATAATAGTAATATTGTGAGAGAAAAATATTCAAACTATTTATTTTCTTTAAAATCTGAAGTTTGACGAGACGTCTTTGTTGATTGCTTTGTTGTAATTCAAATATATTGAACAGCTGAATATCAAAATTTCAGTCTGTTAACAAGTTTAATTAATCAACATTTAACGAACTATAATTTAAACTATAAATAAATTTTGAAGGCTTTCCAAGTAAGACAAAACTTAAGAATAAATAACGACAATTTAGTCTCTAGCTATTATTTATTCAATTTTTCTTGTATGCGTAGATAAAATGCATATGTTTCTACTTAAATAATTTTAAACTGCTTTGTTTCTTACTATAGTTTGATATCTAATGGCATTTCAGTTCTAGTATAGTTTCTAGCCTTGGAGAGAAACTACTAAAAATTATTTGCATATAAATGCATACAAAACAGGGCAATTATTCTGGGTGAAAAAATTCATGACCAAGTTTATTTATGTTTTGACAATTACAAATAAAAGTTAGTTTGATTTGATATTTTTTTTACTAACTTAAGCTATATTTATAAATTTTCTGATGCATTATTCATGTGCGTTTTTAATGGTAAGGAAAATAATGTAAACTGGAACTTCATATAACAGAAATCTTGAAATCCTTGCAACAACTACATAACAGAAATGTATTCATCGGCCACTAGTTTGACACTGCTGATGTAATGCATACAAAGTTGGAAAAACCTCATGACTGGATAGTTGTTATGTGATACTACACTTCTGCCATTTCCCCATCATGGCAAAAATTCTTTGACAATCTTCAGCTCAGCTACATTAGGACTACAATCAGTGTCAACATTTTTGATTATTTATGTTATCCCTACACAGGGTTCATACAGTCTTTGAAGTGTTTATCTTTGGGTTTTTTGGAAACAATTTTCGGTGCAGATCGGCAAAATGTCCTTAATTTTACTCATCTGACATTTCTGTCTATTTTTACGACTGCCATTTTGCCCGTCAATTAACATTTTGGAGGAATATTTATTTGATGTGTTATAATTTGAATTCTTTCATCCTTTTTAATAGGGCACAAGGCCCTGCCTTGATTGAAATATTAGCATTTCAAAATTCTTTTTTGAGAATGAATAGTTCAAAAAGCATAACATCAAATATATCCTTTCCCCTTTTGAGATATGATTTTTTTATTAAACGATAATAAATTTGGCAATTTATCAACATTTGCTGATTTCAAGATCAATTTGTGTGGAAAAACTTTTATTTGGATATTTACAAATTGTTTGATGATTTTTTCCCTAAACATAATAAAATTAATAAATGTAATTAAAATAAAAGTATATTAAAACTGTGAATAAGAAATTGCATTAAAATAAAAGATTTTTATTTTCCCATGTCATATTTTAAAATGGCATTATTTTCCATTTAGGCCACTTAGGAATATTTCTATTCTGAAAAATAGATAAGATAATAAATGCTATGAAATGCAGTTTCCGAAGCATTTCTTGGGGGGAAAAACAAGAAATTGCTTCGGTCCTCCGCCACAGTGTAGTTGTTTCAGAATATTCAAATGTGTATCAATTTTCTCTTTCTCTTAAGAATTCACTTTTCTGATTTTTTTATTTAAAAATCATCTTGGCTTTCCACTCTTAGAGTTGGAAAGGATAATTTTTAGACCTTGCACCTTTGAAGGATTTGAAAGCAAGATTCCAGTAAATATGACTGAATGAAAGATATTTTCATGATATTAACATGTAATGAATGTGTGTTATAGGAAATATCTTATGAATTTCTTATTTTGTGGAAAATTTTTGAAAGAAAAGTGAAAACAAAGTTATTTGAATTTTCTGCTTTTGATCGTAGAAGTCTTCCTCTTAACATGTTTATCTTCCTTTCATTTACTCATCTTTTCAGTAGATACCAGCAAGGAAAATTGCAGATATAGTTACAAGCTTATCACGTGGACAGGCATCTGTGGAAAGGAATTTTTTCTGTTAATGAAGAAAATGAAAACTCTCAGTATCTCAATGCACCATATACAGGGCATTTTGCTACCTGGTTCAATCTCTATGGGTCCTTAATTTTGCTAAGTAGTGTCTGTTCTAAATTCTAAAAATTTTGTCATCCCTAAATTTTGCTGCTCGTTGCTTCACTAACTTCTAACAATTCTGCCTCACTGACATTATATCTTTTTTAATTTATTCTGAGTGCTCACATTATTCAAGAAATAAGATTAGCATCTTCTGTATCAGGCATGGCCAAACTGTAGCTCACAAGCTACTCTCAGCGTGTTTGCAAATGCGACGTGTTTGCAACAAACAGTTGTTTATTTTTTTTAATCTAATTGCTTTTTAAAATAAAGATCATGCAATGGCATGCTTCTTTATTAATTGCTAATTTCTTATATTATGTGTGTAATAGTTGAATCGATTTCAAAGTGTCTGTCGTATAATTATCGTCAGAGTAACCAACGCAATTGCAAAAAATTCTATTTTTTTCAGTTGCTTGTTACTTTTAGAGCTGGTAACGACCAACAATAAAGCCTGAAATTTACAAATATGATGTAATTTTAAAAGTAATTCTATTTTTATTTTCTCTCAGATTAATTTTGTTTCAGGCAGTTTCTGCTTACATTCCTTCTGTATGAACCCATTGCTTTACAACAGTTATTATCCAATGGGTTGGAGGATTTGCTATTCTTAGTGTAATGACCTTGCGGATTAATAAGGCACCATGAGGAAAACGACACCAACATTTATTAAAAATTAACTTTCAAAGAATAATGAAAAAAAATTTAACATTTAAAGAATAAAGGCAAACTCGGAGCACTACCTCGCTCCTACAACATAATTAACCTACAACCTGCCTCCTCTGAGGCTAACATGCCACTGTCGTCCCTCTCACTTGCTGGGCTCTGCCAGGCAGCTGATTGGCTCACCGCTGCCAGATACATGACACCCCCCCCGGTAAGATTGTGCTACGCCAAAGCGAAGCAGAATCTGAAAACTGAACCAGCAAATACAAACTTAAATTGTATACTCCACATACCAAATTAATTCAAAATATATGAACATGTATACATGATGTAATAACATACTTTGAAATAAATGCAATAAACATTCATCTCACAACAGATGAACAGATGGCTTGATACAATACCGGAGTTCTGTAATAAAACATATATGCAATACTATTTCAAAACACACTATTATAATGCAATATTAAATGGAAACCAGTAATTTGATTTTCAAAACAGATGGAAAGTAGCTCTCGTACAATTCCGGAACAAAAGAAAGTAACTAATGCAAAGTTTTAAAACATATTAGTTCATACTTAGTTCACACCTATTTCATTCACCCACTAGTCTTGAAAGACCATCTGCATTTTTTAATTGTGCACCAGGGCAATGAGAAATATGAATATTATAGCGCTGAAGTGCCATTGCCCACCTCTGTAATTTGGCTGAATGCGGTGCCGACTTATACAAATATAATAATGGATTATGGTCTGTGATCAGCTCGATATTCGATCCAAACACCCAACACTCGAACTTTTTTAATGACCACACAACGGCATAAGCCTCGCGTTCAATAGTTGACCAGTTCTGCTGAGTTTTCGAAAGTTTTTGACTGGCAAAGCTGATAGGATGCAAACTGCCTTTGCTGTCTCGTTGTGACAAGCAAGCACCAACACCATATGAACTAGCATCACACTGTATGGTGTAAGGTTTTTCTGGTTCTGGAGTGTACAGTTTTGGTGCTTCACACAGTCGACGTTTCAGTTCTTTAAATGCTGATTCCTCAACATCAGTCCATGGAATTATCTCAGGAATTTTCTTTTTCGTAAGCTCCGTCAATGGGCGAGCT